AGGATGGCCTGAGGAGCCCTCGAGCCTGTGCGCAGGGGTTAACATGGAAAGACCTTTCTACAAAAAATACCAAATCCTTGAGAAAACATTCAAACGGCTAATCACAGGTTCATCAGGATTTTGGTTTCTCCGTTCCTCACTGAGACTCTATGGCACACCCATTTAAAGCATAAAAACGGAATGAAGTGAACATTTCTGACAGCTCACTTGCAGTACTAATAATTTTGTGTATGCATGTTTGATTCAGAAATAATTTGGCATAACCTTAAATAGAAAGCCAACATCTGCAAATACAAAAACAATGCAAATCTCAGGAACATTGTGCAATCTAGAAACAAAAATCGAAGGCTTTCACAACATTTTACAACAATAACCACACTACAAGCCACACTAAAGGATGAGAATAACAACTGTGCAACACTGAATATTGCAACTTCTAACAAAAATCTAGTCTTGAAGGCGGACTGATAAAGTCTTTGGCAGCATTTTGAAAGCGTTTTTGTAACAGGCAGTTAATTTTATATGAAAATCAAATCAAAATCAAAAAGGTCTGCGTTTTTGAAATGGGCTTTGAAGGGTGGTGAACAGTTACATCAAGTCAAGTTAGTAGCTCTAGTACACACTAATTTCAATTAAACATCCTAATACACAACTACAAACAAATCTGTCAACCACACAGTAACAACGATGTTTGATTCAGAAATAATTTGGCATAACCTTAAATAGAAAGCCAACATCTGCAAATACAAAAACAATGCAAATCTCAGGAACATTGTGCAATCTAGAAACAAAAATCGAAGGCTTTCACAACATTTTACAACAATAACCACACTACAAGCCACACTAAAGGATGAGAATAACAACTGTGCAACACTGAATATTGCAACTTCTAACAAAAATCTAGTCTTGAAGGCGGACTGATAAAGTCTTTGGCAGCATTTTGAAAGCGTTTCTGTAACAGGCAGTTAATTTTATATGAAAATCAAATCAAAATCAAAAAATCAAAAAGGTCTGCGTTTTTGAAATGGGCTTTGAAGGGTGGTGAACATAGTTACATCAAGTCAAGTTAGTAGCTCTAGTACACACTAATTTCAATTAAACATCCTAATACACAACTACAAACAAATCTGTCAACCACACAGTAACAACAAGACTGCTATACATTAAGACAGATTGAATTCAAAACATCATGATGTTTAATTTGTAATAAAAGGCTCTAAAAGATGCCTTTGGCCCTGACAAATATATGCAATATGCTGACATGATTAGCAAAAAGATGGACAGTTGGCATCATTCTGGTGTCACAGAAGAGCGCAGCTGAAATTATCATCAGAGTGGGAGTCGTGTCCATTTGTGGGCTGCTCTTCATGAGCAGATGGAAAAGGCATCGGCAAGAAATAAAAGAGATGTTTTTACCACAAAATAACTATTCTGGGCAAACAATAAAAGCACTAAAACACTAAAATGTAACACAAAGGGTTCATCCATTTTCGAACATATCTGCAATAGGTCATAGCTGAGAAAATAGCATGGTGATCTAACAGAGCCAAACAGCTTTAAATCACAAAACGGCCAATCTTTCCAGATCTTACTAAAGCCTAAATTAAAAGGCTTTTTTCCTGTACCGCCAGGATTGCGGCTGACCCATTCGGACTGAATTTAAAAGGTGCAAATTAACTTTTTCAACCAACTATAAAAACAGAGCACCATTTCTATGCAACTGAACACCAAGGCAGATGTCCATTCAGAAGGGGCTCAAATAGCACCAGCGACCCTCTCCTGAAAATTGTCTCTGAAACATTGTGTGTGGAACAATGCCTGACGTTGTACTGGAACCTCTCGTGTTCCCCTTTGTATCTTTAATAGGCGCCTGCATAATATAATGGCCAAACTTTCAGTTACGTTCAATCTTAACTGTCATGCAACGAAGTACAGTATGTAATGAAAAAGTTTCAACCACCATTCACTTCCATTGCATCTGTCTTTCCACACAATCAAAGTGATTCTGCCAAACATCTAATTTTGTGTTCCACAAAAGAAAGAAACTTGGGTCTGGAACAACATGATCGAGTTTTCATTTCCAGCTTATTCCTTTAAAAAAAAAAACGCTCACATCTGAAAGAAAAAAATGCAGATGGTAAGCTCAAAAGGCCCACTGCTGACAACCGTATTAATAGTGCACACTCAACAGGAACATAATGTTGCAACCAAACACAACAATATCCTCTTCTGAGAGACTCTGACTTCATATTATTTATTGTGGAAATGATGACAGGTGCATTTGGTCCACAAAAACCTGTAGGAAGCACTATTGAAACGGGCGCCACACACAATAATAAAGGGTGTGGACAAAAATAATAAAATAAACTGCAGTAACGGAGCAATGTCATTATCACAGAAATATTAGACGTCACATCTTTAAAATGATGTAGCTCAGAAAAAACAGCAACTTCCTACTCAAACAACAAGGAAATTCTCTCTGTCAAAGAACATATATGCATGTACAGAAACGAAATGCTTCCTTGTGAATGCCTTTAAGTAAACCAGCTAAGCTACCACATATGGAAGTTGTCCAACAGGCTAAATGCACACTAAAATCAGTGTGCATATACTGTGTACTGTCTAGGAGTCTGAAGAACAAAAAATAAGTCAGTGTTTGGCGAAGCGAGGACTCATATTCGTGTATTTTATTAAAAGCCGGTCAAACGGTGCGGCTAGCGGCTACTCGGCTAACTGGACGATTAGCGTTAGTCTGCCAGACTGATGAAACACACACAAAACACAGGCGTTACCACAAGAAATGGACGTTTGAGGGAGAAAGAGGGATGAGATATGTTATAAAGATGTGAACTGAGAGAGGAAAGCAGTTGAATATGGAGGCGGTGGATAAGAGAGGCCTTGGTGGGATACTCACCCTGTCTATCTGTACACAGCAAATCAAATCTATCTGAGCGGCCAAGGTCTAGCACAACAGGTCACAATATAATTTCCCGGGTGGTTTATCCCTGCTCCTGTGTGATTTGCTGCGAAAACACCAAGTCTTGTTTCTTACAGCCTCTCTGTAGACCGCTAGTGCCTCCTAACCACCATCTTACAGTGAACTAGTAGAGGGAGGGGGCGCGTCAAGAAGTGACTTTTAGCGCATGCGCAGTTGATGATGAGCTTGGGCGTATGTGGGTAATGTAGTGTGCAATATCCAGAGACATTGGAAATGTTTACAGAACTATATATATTAAAGGTCGAACTGTGTGCTCAAGGGTATTTTTTTTAACATTTATATTGAAGCAAATTGTGATGTTATACATTTTGTACATTTCCAAAATGTTGTAATTGCAATGTTTGTTGGCAAACAAATGGCTTGATATAGTCTATTTGTACATTACCGGTTACATTTTTTGCTGTTTTATGAATTGTTTCATAAATGTCTTACAGCCTCTCTGTAGACCGCTAGTGCCTCCTAACCACCATCTTACAGTGAACTAGTAGAGGGAGGGGGCGCGTCAAGAAGTGACTTTTTAGCGCATGCGCAGTTGATGATGAGCTTGGGCGTATGTGGGTAATGTAGTGTGCAATATCCAGAGACATTGGAAATGTTTACAGAACTATATATATTAAAGGTCGAACTGTGTGCTCAAGGATATTTTTTTTAACATTTATATTGAAGCAAATTGTGATGTTATACATTTTGTACATTTCCAAAATGTTGTAATTGCAATGTTTGTTGGCAAACAAATGGCTTGATATAGTCTATTTGTACATTACCGGTTACATTTTTTGCTGTTTTATGAATTGTTTCATAAATTTTTTACTGCTTAATGTTACGGTTTTATTAGAGCAAGTTGTCACGTGTTTTAAACTGTACACTTTCGCAATTAATAATTTACAATACATGTTGGCAAATAAAATAGCTTGATATTGCTGTTGCATAAATTATCTTATTGCATTGTTAACTTTGCTGCAAATGTTCATGTTTTAAATGTTATACATTTGCAACGTATTCATTTCAATATTTGAATTACAATCGCACTATTTCATGAATTATGTTTCAAAATTGTGTCCAAGTTACATACGTTGGCTATACATAACTAAAGCCAGAATACTACTACTACTAATATCTGGGGTAAAAAGTGGGACAGCTAGCCCCAGTCAATTATCAGTAGCCTAAATATCAGAAGAACATCTTTCTTTTTCTGATTCTTTATTTCTAAGCAATAATAACAACAACAACAACAGTATTAGTATTTTTTATTTTATTATCTTTATTATTACATCACAAATGTTCAGGAAATTGGTGAAGTATTGACATTGAAAACTTGAACTTATCAAGTTTGCACCACTTCTGAAGTTCAACAGTAGGTGGTGACACAGGCCAAGGTTTTTTAGAAAGAATACATTTCATGTACACATTATCCGGGCTGGCTATCTGAGTCTAAACAAAGAAGACGTTCATAGTTTAAAAAGAAATATAAAATATAAAAATAACCAAACAATGAATAGAGCAGAGGTTTTGTTCTGCACTATAGGTTCATGCAAGCCAGAATCATTTGTTTTTAAAAAAATCCTCAGAAGAACATCTTTCTTTTTCTGATTCTTTATTTCTAAGCAATAATAACAACAACAACAACAGTATTAGTATTTTTTATTTTATTATCTTTATTATTACATCACAAATGTTCAGGAAATTGGTGAAGTATTGACATTGAAAACTTGAACTTATCAAGTTTGCACCACTTCTGAAGTTCAACAGTAGGTGGTGACACAGGCCAAGGTTTTTTAGAAAGAATACATTTCATGTACACATTATCCGGGCTGGCTATCTGAGTCTAAACAAAGAAGACGTTCATAGTTTAAAAAGAAATATAAAATATAAAAATAACCAAACAGTGAATAGAGCAGAGGTTTTGTTCTGCACTATAGGTTCATGCAAGCCAGAATCATTTGTTAAAAAAAAATCAATTTTATTTACAGTATTATGATATTTTCAAATGATAAACAAAATGTCATTCTTTAACAGGCACCAGAGGACACATTTCAGCAATGTTTGTGGCCACGTCCTTTAAAATCTGGCTCTGGTCTACAGTCTGCAGAATAGCTTTAAGATTGCACCAGAATACTCGCTGCTTGCGTTCATCTGCCGGCCACTCCAGGTACGTTTTCCGCCTAAGCAGCGTTCTTAACTTCAGAAACTTTTTGGGCAGAGAGTCTGTTGGTATGGGCTCCAACAGAACGAAGACCAGGGAGTCGTCGTTCACACTAATCGCCCTGTGCTGGGCGAAGAACAGTTCATAGTTGCACCACTCGCTCTGCACAAAATGTTTGGACAGGATGAAGAGGCTCTTGTAGCTGTCCTCCACACAATGGATTATATTGTCCACAATCCACTTCCCAGGTTCAAAATCTCTCTCATGGACACAAAGAGACAGGCCTGACCTTTCTAATTCAGGTACCAGCTGAGATCCCACCCAACCTGAGTCATGTTGGCTGTAGGAAATGAAGGCGTGGTAGCGGAAGGTGGCATTTAGCAGTCGATCAGCCCTCTTATAGCCTCTCCTTTTCATTCGCATCCAAACCCAAAGCATTTTGGTGTACCAAATACCATCACAAGCATAAACAGTGATACCCAGAGCAGTTCCTACCACAAATAACACCGACAGAACCACAGCAGCCTGCAAGCCTGGTTGACAGGACAGCCATCCGTGCTCATACGTCTCCAAACGCCTGCCGGTAAATGACAGCGGGGTGCTGCAAGTGTAATCCTGGGGCCAATCTGAGAGAAGTGATTTATTAAATGCCGTCGTGAACCAAAAGGAATCACAATCACAGCTAAATGGATTGTAGCCGGCTTTCAAAGTCCTCAGCTTGGGGAAACCTTCCATTGATTTTTGGCTAATGAAAGTAATTGCGTTCTGGTCAATGTGCAGGCTTACTAACATAGGAGCCCGAAGATCCGCCGGGATGACCTGTATGCTGTTAAAACTCAGATAGAGGTACGTTAGTCTGGGAAACAACGATGAAATATTTAAAGGAATAACCCTTATGCCCGTCTTCGAAAGGTCTATCTTCTGGAAGTATGGTGATAGGTAGTGAAATATGTCGTTTCCTAGATTGTTGTGGCTGAGACTCAACTCAATCAGATGGGGAGGCCAAAAACACGGTTTGCCAATGGAAATAGAGTTGAAACTCAAGTCAAGAGACTCTAAGAACTTCATATCATTGACGTTTTCGGCAATCTCAGCGAGGTCGTTGAAACGGTTATGGCTTAGCGAGAGTTTTCTCAAGGCTGGAAACACTTTGTGTGATGAACAACCAAACCACCAGAAGCCACTCTCATCCAAGAGGTTGTTTGACAGGTCCAAGAGTTGTAGAGACTTAATGGCTGAAATTAGATTGCATGGAAGAATATTCATCCCGGTACCGGAGAACTTCAAGTAGGTTAGTTTGTTGACTAGTTCCATACTCACGTTAAAAGTGGGGTAGTGGTACTGATGGTGGTGTACACCATCAAGCACAAACGCTCGTAGATTCGTGGTGTGATTCTGCTTTGGTAGCTGGAAGCCATCAGGAGTGTCCTCATTGTATGTGATGTTTAAAAACACTGTTTCCTTAAAAGATGATTTCCAAACATTTTTGAACAGTTTCCCCATCACAGAGCTGTTTATCCAGGTGTCTACGATGCTTAAGTTACTGAGGACACGCAAATCTTTAAAAGCCATGAAAGGATCAGTCCTGATGGTACATTGGTCTGGAAACAACTTAACCAGCTGAATTTTTTTAGTTTGGGTTTGGTCAAAATCCATAATCATGTTACTGAAAATGTCGAAATGCTGGCAAAAAGTCACTTTCAGAACAACTTCCTGTAATGATTTGAGTTGTGAAAAAGAGCCATTTTCATAGTTTTGCAGTTCCGTTCCATCTCCAAATATGATTTTTTTCAAACGGATATTTTGAAGAGGAACAAAGTCATGCACATTAACAGAACTAGCATCTTTACTACCAATCGCAAGGATGGAAAGGTAACTTAAGTTACCAAATGAGCCTGGAAGTGCATAACTGGGATATGGATTGCTGGAAAGGTCTAGCATCCTTAGCTGGGGCAAATGCAAATTAGGAATGATGGTCAGATGGTTGTAGGAGATGTTGAGTACTTTGATTGCAGAGTTGTTGCTGAAGGCATCAGGGGAGATGTATTGAAGCCCACAGTGTGTGACTTTGAGGTAGCAGAGATGGGTTAAACCAGACAGGTCACCGTGAACAATGCTGGAGATATTGTTGTGGGACACATCTAAGTACTCTATGCTGTTTGATAAATGTGATGGAATCCTTGTTAGATTATTATTGGAAAGATCTTTTGTGTGCTCAGTCAAAGTGGAACAATATCCAGATTCTTCACCATGTGCTTTTAACTAAATCAGTAAGAGGCATGAGATAAGCACAGGCCAGATGGTGGACGACATCCTCTGAAAATAAAAAGGTATATATCTGTTAAATCATGCACTAATTATATATGCATTCATTTATTTTGATAAATGTGCAACTGAATAGCTAATGCACAAATACCTGTAAAATAATCGAATAAAAAATAATGATATGTAAATATAAAAATAAAAATGTAAATACATAATAAAAACAATATATTAAAAATCGAACAATATAATAAATATAGATATTATATTTGACAGTTTCTTGTACTGTAGATAATTTTTTACATATAACATTATTAAAACATTAAATGACTGCTATGCACTTGCTTTAACAAAAATACAATACAAACAAACAAAAAATAAATAAATGGACATTTACCTTAGATACAAAACATGAAAATCTGATGTTCAATAAATCATTTTATGATTTTCCTCTGGTCCATTTACAGCTTGAGCTCTGCTGTGCACTTGATTATGTGGCCTTATAAAGACACGCCTGCACATGGTATTAACCATATTAACAAAAAAAATTTCACAACGGTATTTTCCGGATTACTTGAACTTCCCTAAATGCACAATACTCATCTTCTCTAAATGCCCAGAGGGAAAACCTTAAATGGGCAAAAGAGTGCAATACCTCTAAAGTAATTTATATGAAATGTATCTACCACACATTTAGTTAGTTTAGTTTCGTTACTGAAAGGTCACATTTCAATATGACTTATCTTTTGACTGTGCATTTGCATATTTAAAATAGGCTTTACTCACTCATGTTAATGCTTATGTTCAAGCTCTAGTTGCAACACCCTCCATCAGTGCTCTCTATTCACTTCATATACTGTGTGTGTATAGAGAGAGAGAGAGAGAGAGAGAGAGAGAGAGAGAGAGAGAGAGAGAGAGAGAGAGAGAGAGAGAGCACAAAAAGAGCAGAGGTATTAGTGAAAAACACCCTCCACTCTATTCATCTATTCACTTCATATACTGTGTGTGTATAGAGAGAGAGAGAGAGAGAGAGAGAGAGAGAGAGAGAGAGAGAGAGAGAGAGCGCACTAAAAGTGCTAGGATTTCATTGAAAATGTTAATGCACTAATTAAAGGTCCATACTACTGCAATCCAGGAATGAAAAAAAAAAACAGGGGATGCCAGGGATTTGTTTAATAATGAGATTTTAAATATTTAACACCAGTCACAATGATAATGGTTTCAGGAGAGAGAAATAACCAGACTGTTGTTGTGGTGACATTGCTAAGGTCAGATGAAAAAGGGAACGGTGGAGGGACTTTCCTCACTACTGTCTTACAAGAAAAGCTGTTTACATCTGACATGTGATTATGCACCTTTGTTTATATTATGAAATGAATTGATTAATAAAAGAAGATATATATATCTCAAAACATTTCTTCAGAATAAATTATGTTTAGTGCTCAGCCATCTTTTCTTCTCTTCTCAAGATGCTACTTATAAAGCATAATCACCAACTCAGTTTTGCCATGTTTGTTTAGTTCTTGAGGGTAGTTTAGATTACTACATCTGTGTTCTAACAAATGGTGTATACAGGATTATTAGTGACCAAGAACTAATCATCAAAGAAACTATAAATGAGCAAATATTACAAAGAATATATGCATGGTTCCTCTTAAGGACAGTTATTAAACATGGTATGTTCAATTGTTCAATAAGGAATGGGATTTTTTAAGGAATTCTAAACAAATTACTGTATTTTTCGATTGGCTTTGGGATAAATGTGCTTTTCAAAATTCCCAGCAAAACATTACATTATCTGTTTGCTTTTTCTCCCTTCTTTCTCTTTGCTTCGTTTGAAGTGTGTAATAAGTAGTGGGCTTTGGGATTTACGTGTAAACTCTCCATAAAGTCTTAAGCAGGAACTCACATGAATTCACATGAAACAAGGAAAGGCAATATCTAATTCTGTCTGCTTTTCAGAGAAATTGAAAAATCAGTCAGTGGTTACCTAAGTAATATATGACATCACTTAAAGTAATTAGCTTGGAAATTACCCTTTACATTTACACAAAGAATGCAGATCATATGCTATAATCTTCCATAATGTGATGAATGATCACCCTACATGTAACGATTTGTATATCTTGAATATTTTATTCAAAATATTCACTCCAAAATACACTAATTTGTGTATGACCAAAATAACTTTCCCTGATTTAGAAAAATAACATTTGAATACGTTCTAAGCATATTAATGTCATTAATAAAAACAGGTATAAATGTTATTGTTTAAGTTAGGTTGATAATGTAATAATTTGAGGAAGTATTGCTCCCCTGCTTTCATTAATAACAGCCACGCGTTGGAATGTTTTGATAAGGCACTAGACTCGTGTTAGGTCTTCGGTTTTCCGAAAACACCCGATTACGACGCGGTTTTTATTTTTCCGAAAACACTCGATCAATTACGGCGCCTTCGGTTTTCCGAAAATAGCCGAACGCAGAGCAGCCGCTTTCCGGAAGATCCGGGTGCTTGGGCTTCAACATAAACAGCAATGGCGGAGGCAGCGGCAGCGGCAGCGTCAACAGCGGCTCCAGCAGTTATCGGAGGCTGGACGAAGCACGTAACCTGCAGGTTAGTGAAAATCAGTCGAGGGACGCGGTTGTCGCAATATTAAACGGTCTCAAATATTAAACGCAACCACCTGTCCGTGCGTCGACGGCGAGGCATCGGATAACGCCGCTGTCTTTGTGCTGAACTGGATGAATGTGTGTGTGTTTGTTGTTGTAACGCACCGAATGAGCGATCAGTCCGACAGGGGCTTCAATTTGCGGTCCTTTCTTCCTCTTTCTCTTTCTCTTTCTCTCTCTCTCTCTCTCTCTGTCTCTC